ACGGTACAACAGACACGTCGGCTCATCTGATCGGTAGCCTCCCTCAAGGAGTTTTGCTTCGAGGAATCAATTCCAGAGTTCCTAGTGTCCATGTTTCGGCTGTACTTCTCATTATATGACCAGCCCATCGATGTTTTTCCTTTGAGACATATTCCGCTGCATCGCGAAGACAAAAACTAATCTCATCTGAACTGCGAAGTCCGACGAGATGTTGAGCACGTCGGTTTTACTTCAAAAGACGTCCACTCAGCGCTCTGTGGGTTGTTCGGAGTGCATTCGACGTAGCCACAGTGTCAGGCCACATCTCTGCTGCGTAAATTGCGCAGAGAGAATGCTTGATCAACAGATGGGCTCGGAGCTCTGGGTCCGTCAGTTGGTCTGTGGCTTCGTTGAGAGGCCCGAAGGCGGCCCAAGCTGCTTTTCGTCTCCGAAGTTCTTCTTTCAGAATGTTCTCCACCCCAATCGAACGTTTGAGACATACATAAGGCCTTCTAATTCCATATCCTGATTCTCGCGAAAAGCGTTCTTCATGAAGTGAGTTCCTTCCAATTGATTCGCAGTTCTTTCTGATTCCCTACTTCGTTTAGTTCTTTCAACATCGTCTCCGCTTCAATGATATTCCTCGAGAAGAGAACAATGTCGTCCGCAAAACGAAGGTACGAGAGGAATCTCCCATCAACTCGTTTACCTCTCTCGTTCCAATCCAGTGATTTCATCACCCACTGCAAAGTGGCTATATGCAGCTGTGGCAACGCGGTTAAAGGCGTGATGGAAAAGCCGTTGCAGAGCAGCTTGGGGCGGTCGGCCAATGTCCTTACGAGATGGGTCCACCCTATGGTCGACGAGCGCTGACAATAAGGCATTAGTCTCGCTGTCAAACGCTTTCTCATAATTGACAAAAGTTAGGACGAGAGATAGGCTCTGCTTTCGGCAAACCTCGATAAACCTCGAAAGCGTATGTGATCCAAGCAACTAAATCCCTTACGAAAAACAGCTTGTTCTACAGGGCTTTATGCGACTAAGAATAAACTTCGTGAAAAGCTTGTAAAGCATGCTCAGCAAGCATACTGGACGATAGTTCCGAAGATCCTCCCTATCGTTTTTCTTATGAAGGAAGATTATTTG